AGAATCTCTACTTTTCATTTTTGGTAAATTTTGACAAAAATCCCTGTACTATAGTACAGGGACTTTTGTCCGATTTTGGAGCAACTTAAAAAAATCATAAAAAATCCAAACTTGATCGGAATCAGCTCAAACTTTCTACACAACATAAGTACATGTATATGCATCAGAAAATGTAATAAAATTTGGAAATTTTCTACTTGTCAATTTTGGTAAATTTTGACAAAAATCCCTGTACTATAGTACAGGGACTTTTGTCCGATTTTGGAGCAACTTAAAAAAATCATAAAAAATCCAAACTTGATCGGAATCAGCTCAAACTTTCTACACAACATAAGTACATGTATATGCATCAGAAAATGTTTATAATAAGTACTTACATTGTCATACATGGAACAGACTAGTTTCAAGTGAAGATGGCTCCCATCTCTATACACTATACAGTCTCTTTGTTGAGCTGTCAGTAGACACAGTGGGAGACAGAGATTAGAATCAACTAGTGCTTCACGTAAACGCTGAGATGATTTCTTAGTGTTACGAACTTGAGAGAAATAACCACCCTGAGATAAAGAGAGAGAAGAATATACCAAAGAATAGTAAATTTAAATTATAAGAATAAAAAAATTAATAATTATAATCAAGTGTGCCTACATGTATATATCACTATGCTAAACAATATTTACAGTTTAGACACTCCTACCCTCCTACCATTACATGTAAATGTAAGGAGCGACAGACTCGTAGTTGTAGAGCCACGGAGTCTGGACAAACACCAGCAATTCTAGGAAAAGTATCAACTAATAGTTGTGAGAAGATCAAGTATATGCAGTAGAGACCAGGAATAGCAGTTGACAGTTAGTTTTTAATGGAGTGTTATCATAAAAAATGTCACTTGATGCTGTTTTAAGTGTAGTTGCTATGACTACATTAAGGAATGTTTCTAACAATATAAAAAAGAAGATTCCTTGGCTTAGCTTCTATCACTAACATCAGTTGAGGAGTAACAGTTAACAGATTACAGTAATCTAATCAAGAATAACAATGCCTGGCAAAAAGGTAATAAATTACTAATATCCCATTATTCCATAATTCATAAGTATAGATTAAGAAAAGAGGCACTGACATCAAACTTGATTCAGCAAAAGTTATTGTCTTTTTCTTTGATGCTCTTTTTTACAATGATCATAGTGATAGGGCAATATATAACCAATGGAAATTTGGATATAAATATCAGAAAAGGTTTTTTTATAGCTTTAGCTATAATTTATCTTGCAGTTGCTATTGTTGTTACACTTGCAATTACATGAGCCCCGTTTACACTATGCCCTTAAAGCGGTTTGGAACCGGTTTAGAAATAAATCAGTTTACATGTGGACAATTTCAATGCGGTTTAAACCGACTTATCTCAAACCACCTCAGGAGGTGGTTTGAGATAATCAAACTGGTTTAAGTACTGAAGCAGCTGTATTATGTATGCAATGTAGCATTGTAAACCGATTCAACCACAGTTACGTGTGGACACAATTAAGCTGGTTTCTGAACCGCTTTGATCCAAACTGGTTTGTAGTGTAAACGGGGCTATGGAAAGCAGAAGCTTCTAAAACAAAAAATGCAAATTTATTATCAGAAATGGCATGCCGCAGTCATTGCTGCACTCGCACAGATGAACAGAATGAACATTTCAGGACAACTTCACTTTACAAAACCATGAGGTGTACAGTTATAAAGAAGTGTGCTTTGTTTCTAGTTGAACTTTCAGTCATTGCATGTGTTGGAGCATATTTTGTTGGAGATAATTTGAATGATATCATAAACAGTAGAATACCATCGTTGATAATTGTTTTTGGACTACTTGGAATCTACTTTTTCTCATACACCCACACAAGAGTTAAAGAATTTGATAAGAAAAGAGAAAAGACAAGAGAAGAATTAATAGAAAAAGGTCAAATCAAAACAGACCAATTAAACAAACACACAAACAACAAAAGAAATGCAGAACTCTATAAAAAAATCAATGAATTCATCCTACACATA